CTTCCTTCCTTCCTTCCTTCCTTCCTTCCTTCCTTCCTTCCTTCCTTTTCAACCGCTCCCTGTACTCAAGAAATTCTGGATGGTGAAAAGAAATATAAATAAACTAGTTATATCAATCCTTTAAGAAGAAACAGAGCTGAAAAAAATTGCCAATATATGTTACTCATAAAAAACACATCTACACCAGAGCTCCATCCTGTCCTCTGCATTTCAGGGGGAAAGCCAGGTCTTCACAGCCTTCCAGAAGGCCAACAAGGTCAGGGCTGCCTCCATCTCAAGGTAGAGAGGCTATTCCACAAGACAGGTACCCTGATGGAGAAGGTAAGCAATGCCACCAAAGGGACCCACTCTGCCAAATGTAGTAGAATGGGTAGAAACTGTCACTATTGACTGTTTCTTTACTCCGGGCATCATGGCTGTGGTATCTAAAACAGAGCCACACAACTTGCCCCTTCTAGAAATGGTTGGCATGTATGTTGCATTCATGAGACAGAAAAGAAAGTACAGTAAATACAAAGGAACATCACATCAATTGCATGCTGTCTTCGTTGGCGTGCTACCGCATTTACCTCCATTAGCTTTGCTCAGGCCTGCCCACTGCACCCTGAGCACACCCAGTGCAGGGGCTGCAGCTCTTAGCTCAATCATTCTGGGTTCCAGGATGACTCTCGATATAGAGCCTCCGTGGTGCAGTGGTGAGAGTGCAGTACTGCAGGCCACTTCTGCCGACTATTGGCTGCCTGCAATTTGGCAGTTCAAATCCCACCAGGCTCAAGGTTGACTCAGCCTTCCATCCTTCTGAGGGGGGTAAAATGAGGACCCAGTTTGTTATTGGAGGCAATATGCTGTAAAACTGCTTAAAGAGGGCTGTAAAGCGGTGTATAAGTATGATTGCTATTGCTACTGATCAGGGGGGAAAAACCTGCACATTCCTGGCTCTGGCAACTTTTAAGACTTGTGGACTTCAGCTTCCAGAATTCTCAGTTAGCATGGCATCCACTCCACCACCCCATTGTTTGCTTCTTCTCGCTACCGATTTGAAAGTGGACACTCTCCCTTGAGGATTGCAGGGTATTGCCTGTACAGGGTTTTGCAACTACCATCCTCTATAAGTGCCAAATCCTGATTGTGATCTGCTGGGTCTTGGCAGGTACAAATCTGTGGAGAAATTGAATGCCCTTTGGTATTGCTTTCCACTTGATAGCTTTGCTGTGTCTGTGAATGCCATTTCTTCTGGGTATGGGGGGTAAAGCAGCAAAAGGATGCCAAAGTTAAAGAAGATTTAAGAAGCAAAACAAAACAATCAAAAATCTCATCAGACCACGGAACTTGCAAACATTGTTTATGAACAAGTGCACAGATTGCAGCCCAGATGTTTTTCTTAGGAGAATCAGTTTATATCTTCTCAAGAAGCATGGCTCCTTCCTCTAAGGAAACATCTGAAGTCAACTTTCCAGAAATGGAAATAATGTAATGGCTTCTAAAAAAGAACAACCTTGCTTTTACAACTTACAACGCCAGTCTGATGACAAACTGAAAAGACTTGAGTTGTGGTGCTGATGAGGAAACAAGTTAGATCCACAACAACAACAAAACAGAAGGAAGTTTCTAAAATTTGATCAAGGAAAGCTATGATTGACTGGAAAATATCTCAAGTCTCTAATTGGGATGCTCTGGCTGTGGGACCGTCTATTACTTATTAACATTACAGGTAATCCTCAATTTACAACAATTCATTTAGTGACCGTTCCAAGGTGCAACATTGAAAAAAAGGACTTATGATCAGTTTTCACATGCACGAGCATTGCAGCATACCCATGGTCACGTGATCAAAATTCAGATGCTTGGCAACTGACTCGTATTTTTGACGGTTGCACTGTCCTGGGGTGATATGATCACTTTTGAGACCTTCTGGCAAGCAAAGTGAATGGGGAAGCCAGATTCATTTAACAACGGTGTTACTAACTTAATAATTGAAGCCATTCATTTAGCAACC